ACAAACTGTTCAACAACCATCACTGTTGCCGATGGGAGAGCAAAGGGAAGGCACCAGATGCCCGAGCGGAGCCCATAGCTGAAGTGAGAGGAGTACTGTGTGCAAGAAGGAGGCTGAGCAAAGTGTCTGAGCAGCCTGTAGGCTCTCACCAAAACCTCAGCGCCTGTGGTGTCTGATTCAGACTCTGTAGAAAGAAAATATGAAGCCAGTGGGTGCTTCTGACTTTAGATAGGGAGTAGCAAGTTGAGATAGCACCTTGGGGAAGAGGGACACGTCATTGAGGCCCCAGACGCCTGAGTGAACGGGCAGAGGGAGGGGAAAGGCCATGGTTTGTACTGGGAGGGGAAAAGCCAAGGTTTGTACTGGGAAAAGGAAAGAATAATACTGAGGGTTTGGGTGGGCCTGACAAATACAGACCTAATTCACGCCATATGATGTTTCCATGCAGGAGTCTCGTGAGCCTTTCACACTTGCCCCAAAGTGAGCTCTGAATCTCAGTTTTTCAGATCCAGGTTAATGATAACTATCTCTCTACACACTCAGACTCAAAACTCACAGTATTAGTCTTGATACCCTCCCCCGCCCCCAACCATACCCAGTCCACAGGGAAGAATTACTTATACGTAACTGATAGTTCTAGAATTTAGAATGCAAGCCCTCCCACCCACTCGGCTCATCTCCCTGGTTCAAGCCCTCAGCACAACCTCCTTAGGTCACCATCATGGTCCCCTGTCCTGCTTCTATCCTATGGGCAAAAGATATATATTTGAGTCAGATGGAATCACTCCCCTTTCTAAGCCTTCTTTGTGGAGTCAGGTCTATCTAAGAGAAAGGCCAGAATCCCTTCAGCACCATCCCATGACATTGGTGTCACGTGCCTCTTCTCAGCTTCATCGCCTCTGGACCATTCCCCATTGCTCCTCCTTGTCTAACCTGATTCATCTCCTTGCTGCTGCTGTCAACCTTTCCAGCCAGGCTGTAACTCCACAGCCTTTGCAATGGCTGTCCTTCTGTCTGGAAGGCACTTTTCCCAGACGCCGATCTAGTTCCCTTGGACCTGTATCTCGAATATCACCTCTACTGTCTGAGTGTTGGTTTTCAGTTATCCCCAAATGCGTCACTATGTCTCCTGGCATTTGCTTTTCCGTGTTTATTTTTTCTTCATCCTCTTGATGTCAATCTAACACGATTGTGTATTTAATTTATGTCTGTCGTCTCCTGCCACTAGAATCTAAACTCCATGACTTTGTAAGTTTGTCCATTGTCCACGACTGTAATAAAATCTCCTATACTGTACCCTTTCAGCTCAGAGTCAGGTACACTTAAGGACAAGGTGTGGACCTCATTTGGCTCTGCTGTAGACTTCGTGGGGCTACCATCACAGTGACGGGATTATATGTGAGAAGGAGAGATCACAGGACGAGACACGAGACAAGAAACGGGGAGTGCATACTACTTTAACATCCGTGGGGACACTTCAAGATACTTAGCAACCGCCAGTCATGCCCCACTTCTTAAAGGTCCCACCACATCCTAGCTGTCACCCCCGTATTAGGCACTGCATTTTCAACACATCGGCCTTGAGAGGACACAATGAAACCATGTGAAAACCAGAGCAACAAAGATCAGAACTTGTGTCTGTTTTATTGATCGCCTTAGAACAGGGCCTACCATATTTAACAACAAATTTATGAATAAATAAATGATTGAATGAATGAATAAATGAATGGGCAAATCACAGAAATACGAACAAGGAGAATACTAAGAGCAGTTACAAGAACAGCAATAATAATGATGATAATGATGCTTTTGGGTTGCACAGAAGGGCTTCACTGTGTAGCGCTGGCTGGCATAGATCTCACAGGGTTCTGCCTCTACCTTCTGTGCGCTGGGATTAAAGGTACAGGCACAACACCTGGCTCAGTAACAATAACACTTTTAAGTTTAGGCTTCTGTCTGCTTCTTTGTTTAAACACCATCTGGGTGCAGAGACACTCCTCTCCGCTGTCTATCTGTCCTTGAGTAGGTCCCTCTAACACGTGGTAGTTTTGCAGTTTAACTCTTTGGCTGGTGTCCTGGCTTGAAATGGGTATAATTCCGAAAGATATGAAGTTGTAGTCTCCAGGACCCTAGAAGGTGAGCTGATTTGAAGACAGGCCCTTTACAGAAGCAATCAAGTTGAAACTGGGTCACTAAGCTAGACCCTCCTCCAATGACTGATACCCTTATAGCAGTGAAAAACTTAGAGACAGAGACAGATGCATTCAGAGGGAAGACAAGGCCAAGATACCCATAGAGGAGCTGGGCATGCCTGCAAAGATGGAGCCCGAGATCGGAGGGACAGTGACACAGCCAAGGAATTCCTGGAAGCCGGAAGAGGCAAAGAACACTTTCTCCCTCGTATTCTCGGAAGAAACCACCCCTGCTAGCAGATGATGGATGCTGGACTCCAGGACAGGGAGGCATTCTGTCGGCCAAGACCACAGTTCACAGCACGGTCCCAGCCGCCCTGGGAACCCTGCACAGATGGAAGACTCAGCCTTACCAGGCGGGCACCCTGACTCAAGTAGAAAATAGAAAGCTCGGCCTTCATCTTGCCCAGGGACTGGGAGCCAGGATGCGGAGACGGTAAGTGGTGAGGTTGATAGGGAGACGCAGAAGAGCAACATGGCGCCTGAGTGGACACAACACAGCAACGTTTGGTCATGGCCGTAACCTCCTCCTTGCCACAAGCAAGTCACTCTACCTTCTAGGTCCTTATGTAGTCACCAGAAAAATGAATTTCTTTTTCTTTCTTCTGTTTTAAAAAAAATGATGTGTCTGTGTGAGTGCATGCCATGGGCATACGGTTACCCACTGAGGCCAGAAGAGCTTGCTAGATTCCCTGGAGCTGGAGGTACAGGCTGCTGGGAGCTGCCTGGTATGAGTTCTGGGAACTCAACTCTGGTCCTCTGGAAGAACAGCAAGTGCTCCTAACCACTGAGCCATTTCTCTAGAACCCCCAAAGGAACAGAGTAGTAGCTCTCAACTCGTGGGTCACCACTCCCTTGGGATTGAATGACCTTCTCACAGGGGTCACCTAAGACCATCAGAAAACACAGATATTTGCATTATAATTCATAACAGTAGTACACTTAGAGTTATGAAGTAGCAAGAAAAATGATTATGTGGTGAGGGGGGGTCCCACAGCATGAAGAACTGTATTAAAGGATCACAGCATTAGGAAGGTTGAGAAGCACTGTAACCTGAAGCATCTCTGGTCACAGCTGCAGCTGACCCTCTGTGCTCCATGGTTCTCTGACATCTTCAGAGACCTGGGCATGAGCCAAAGGCAAGAGAAGAACACACTGAATACAGGAGTGATCGGGAACACATTCTTGAAACCGCTACTAATCTACTCAGCCCAATTCAACAATTTAAGAACCTAGCATGTACCCTCCACTGGCTTTTCCTTGACATTCATTCCTAGCGTGGGGTACACTATTGACGGGATGAGTTTGAACTTGAGTGTGTGGTAGGGTCCAAGGCGGTTACTGCTAAATTCAGCCTTCTGAGATCTCTCAAATTTAATTCACAAGCAGACATGGGGGAGGGGAAAAATCACAAAAAGGAGAGTCTAAATGAAGATCATTTTTGGTCTGTTAGAAAATAGACTTGTACAGAAAGGCCCAAAATAATGCATAATTGGCAAGTTTATTGTCAACGCTGCCACTTCAGTCCCAGAAGCATTAGCTGCCAGTTAGATAAACTGCTATAAATAATTATCGGCTGTGCAAAAATTGGATGCAGACAGAGACGTGAGTACCCTACAGGATCTGGAACTCTGAAACCTACAGGCTTGGAAACCACTCATCGCGTCCTTGTCTGCCCTACCGTGAACCCCAAGATGTGCAGCCTCTCTACCCCCAAAAGTGGTCATGGAGGGGTAGGACCGCGCCAAAGGCTGAAGAAGTCCAACCTGAGATGCGCTGATGCCTAGGTCAGAAATGCGCCTTTGAGGTTATGCGCGAAACACCTGTTCCACTCGAGAAGTAAAAGGCCCATTTAAAAAAATCCATTCAACACAGCCTGATGAGAACCAACTATTTCTCAGCAGTAGATTCAGGGGATACAGGCTGCGTGCGTGGGCCCTGTTTTACTGAGCTTCCACGTTCAGCTCAGATCCTGAAAGCTTTGAAGGAAACAGAAGGCAGGGACTGTTGATTCTGAGAGAGCAAGCAGACTTAATAAAAGAACTCTTTGAAGCGCTGAACTTGAAAGCCACTGCAAGGCCAACCAAAAGCAGCAGAAATAGTGTGTGGGAAAGCCCTAAGAAGGTAAAACTAAACATCCAGGGAAAAGGATGGAGGGAAAGTGCATGAATGAGACAGAGTTGGGGATCCAGAAAGACCTTGCTGAAAGAGAGGAAGAGGCAGGGAGGAGGAGGAGAGGGGGATGAAAGAGGAGGAAAGGGAGGGAAGGAGGAAGATTTTTGAATTAAACACAGTTCTAGCTGGGCAAGAGGAAGACAAAATTGGTGTTAGGGAGGCAGAGAGAGGATGAAAGTGGTGATGTTGGATCACCCAGAGTTGGCTTCCTACAAGGCTATGAGACGTTAGGGAAATTGGTGCTCATTCTGCACCCCTCCCCCGCAGCTTTGCAGAGCATCAGTAAAGCCAGCAGTGTTTCCCAGGTCTCAGGTAGCCCACACTGGTCCCGGATTCACTGTGTAGCCCAAGGTGCCTTCGTACGCCTGAATCTGCTGCCTTGACTGCTGGGATTGGAAGTTCTGGGATTACGGATGTGAGCTCCCATTCCAAAATTTCTCTTTTCCTGAATAATAATTTTTTAAATGCTGCTTTTCTTAAAATCCACAATTTCTGTCCTTAATAGGAATTCTGCTGTTGTAGTTTATTTTTAAGGGGCTAGGGGAAGATTTTTAGAGTTAGATTTTGCTTTCTTTCTTGCTGTGTCAAGCCGTGTGTAGAAATGCGCCTTGTCATCATTTTTTCCTTTTGTAGGCACATGACCCCCACTATGCAGATGATCGTGCCTGATGACCCAGTCAGTTGTGGATGGCAAAGCAGTTGGATTATTTCCAGTTGTGCCCAGGAACCACGGCGGCGCTGTTGCATGTGTGGAAGTCTGCCTATAGGAAATTAGGAGACACTCGGAAGTAGGGCTGCCTGGCCGGAAGACAGATGCGTCTGTGATCGGGATGGACTTCGCCAAATTTCTGTCCGTTCAGGTTTCGACAAACGTCATTCTAAAGTGAGATGTGAGAGATCATGTCTTCCTATAGCTGTGCTGTTGAGTGCCCCACAGGCTACATGACTTCATCCAAAATTAGAAACTGTGACCCAGCAGGGAACATTCTTGACTTCTCTGATTCCCAGAAACAGCCCTGGCTCCCTAGACTTGCTAGAGCAGGCTAGTACAGTGACCATGTATTCAATAGAGCTACAGTCATATACTTAAAAAAAAAAAAACATACCTATGTGTTCGCTACCACTAAGAACTTCCTGTATTCTCCTGCCTTACCCCACTGCTGAATTCAGTTCTCCACTGAATTTCCCAACAATCTAATTGCTACCTGTAACACGGGGGCCGGCTTGTTGGGGTTTCTGTCCCACCCGGTACCCCACAACCAGCAATTCCCAAAGAAAATAACACAGAGTCTACATTAGGTTATAAACTGATTGGCCCATTAGGTTAGGCTACTTATTAGTTCTTATAACTTATGTTACCCCATTATCCTTATCTACGTTAGCCACACGGCTCAGTACCTTTCTCAGCTTGGCAGCTTACATCTTTCCTCTCCGGTGGTCTGGGCAGAACTGGGGAGGGAGCTTCCTGCTTCCCAGAATACTCCCAGTCTCTTTGCTCCACCTCTACTTCCTGTCTGGCTTTTCCGCCTATACAGCCTGCCTGACCAATCAGCGTTTTATTAAAATATGATTGACAGAATATAGACAATTCTTTTGCATCAGTTTGGACCTATGCAGATCTTATGCATGCTGTCACAGCTCTGTGAGTTAATATATGCTTCAGCTCTTTTGTGTCTGGAAGATGCTGTTTCCTTGAAGTCATCCATTTCCTCTTTCACATTGATCCCTGTGTCTTGAGGGAAGGGTTTAATAAAAACATCACATTTAGGGCTTAGTTAACCAAAGTTTTTTACTTTCTTCACAATGTCCAGTTGTGAATATTTGTTTTAATTTCCATCTACTTAAAGGGGAAACTTCTCTGATGAAGGCTGAATGATGTATTGAACTATGTGTATAGCAATATGTCATCAGGGGCCATTTTATTCCTATGCTCATAATAATGGACTTTTCCCTAGACTTATGACCTTTCTAGTTTCAGGTTCTTGGCCATTTACATTGTATCAGGTAACAGGTTCCATCTTAAGTGGGTCTTATATTCAATGTTTAAAAGTGGTTGGTTATTCCCATAACATTTGTACCACTACTGCACTGGCGTGTCTTGCAGGAAGATTGCTGCTGTATGCATCAGGGTTTGTAGCTGGGTGATGGTGATCATTACCTTTCTCCTCTGGTAGAATGCCTCACAGCACCATGAACACTAGTCAGCATGGGAGAAGCTTCTGGCTGGGCACCAACTCCATTTCTTCATGTTCAATGACATAAGCAAGTGGTGTCTTCAACATAAGGATCTTACTGTCAGGTAATGGAGGATAAGCAACCCCTTTAGCAATGACTTGTGATGTTTGGAAGTTTCCATGGGGTGCTTTGAGCCAATGACTGGACAAGATATAACTCATTTCTGGCACTGGAGGCTTACTTGGTGGCAGAAGATGTTTAGTTGGTTTACTTGGTGACTTTACTTAAATTCATTGTATGTATATATGTATGTATGTTTTAAGAAGCTTCTACAGCAGTAAGTTTCCATATGGATTTTCAAAGGTCTTTAGTATTTTAACTTTTTAACTCAACAGAAAGAATATCTCATCTGCTTTGAAAGTAAATGATAATGGTCCTTGTCCTTGGGAGGTGGAGTGCAAGACAAGGCCCTCATCCATCCCTTCTTGGTTGTCAACTTGACTACATCTAGAATGAACTACAATTCAGGGGGGCACACCTGAGAGAGATCTTTTGCTTGGTTTGAAGCACTTCTAGTCTGAACCTTTGAGGCAGGGAGACACACATCTTTGATCTGGATCTTGAAGACACACCTTAAATCCAGAACCGCTCATTTTCTGTGTAAACAAAAGCAAAATCTCTTCTCCAAAGTAACATACCTTTTGACTTCAGTTTTGAAGCCAAGGTATTTTCAAAATACCTATCTTGGGTTAGTTCAGCAGCATTTATAAACAAAAGTCTTTTAGCAGCTGTTACTTCTTCCTCAGCATTCAAACAATTCAAAGAGAGCATAATAGCATACAGTATCAAGATTCTCTGTGTATTTTCCATCTTTATGCAGCTTTATTTTAACCTCTATTTCTTTTATTTTTACTTTTACTTTTTGAGACAGGTTCTCTGTATATCTTTGTCCTGGAATAACTCAGTAGACCAGGCTGTCCTTGAACTCACAGAGATCTGTCTGTCTCTGCCTCCCAGGCATTGGGATTAAAGGCATGTGCTACTACACCTTGAGGTCACAGAGGTCAATCTACCTCTGCCCCTTGAAGTCACAAAGGTCAATGTACCTTTGCCTCCCAGGCATTGGGATTAAAGGTGTGTACCACCACACCCTATTTCTCCCTTTCTTTCTTTTTTATTTTTAATGACTTTAACCTTTAGCCTGCATATATTTTTAATACACTGTAAACCATTTAGAGGTTTTCTTCCTCTTTGAATCTCTTTTTTACTGTATATCTCTCTTTTTGTGATTACATGAGTCTTTAAGGAGAAGATGAAAGCCGTGGCTTTGACGGCTAGATCCAGCCCATTCCTTAGTTTTCCAGCCTCATGGTTGAGATACCAGCCAGAGCTGTGTTCACTGACACAACTCTATGGCATTTCAAGGTCCTTGCTAGCAAGCAAGCCGCAGCATTCTGCTCACAGACCACACTCAGTCGGACTGCCTGCCTGAAAGAGTCAGAGATTGCCCTGGCAGGACAGCCCAGAAAGCCGGCATTTTAAAACAGCGCAGCTTTTTTCCTGCTACGACTGAAAGCTGAAAAGCATGCGTTCAGCTTTTCATCAACACTGTTTAAGTGTTTTGCAGCAGGACCTCTCAAAGGAGCTGCAAGGTTTGCAGCTAAAGCTGAATCAGGAAGCCTCTCTTAAATGAGAGTGTTTGCTTGTCTCTAGCAAGCAGAGCTGACCCGAGAAGTTGCTGCTACCAAGAAAACATGCTTTACTCTATTCTTTCCCAAGCTTTCACAGGCTTTCTGTGGATTCAGTTATCCACGTGGGTGCCATTTGTAACATGAGGGCCGGCTTGTTGGGGTTTCTGTACCTTGACTTCAAAATTTGGATCTAAGGTTATGATGCTTTGGAAAAGTTTTTCTTTTGTTTTCACAGAGGATGAGACCCTGTGGATTGCTTCTATCCCAATATAGTATGATAGACCACGCCCTCCTGAAAGGTTGCTATGAACACCCTCAAGAAATTACTTTGCTCAACTGCCGACTGAGATGAATCTAGCACACAGTTTATACCGTGAAAGACCTGATTAACAATGCCCCCGTTCAGCACAAAGCAGTTTGGAGAGAAATAACTACGTCCATATTCCCAAATATTGCTTATAAATGTTCTTTTACATTTAAAGGGGGATATGATATAGATGTGAATAATTTGCATTAAGGTCAATTTTGTTATATGTATATATATTTCTTATCTTGATTGAGGTATTGTGATTGTGTAGTGCATTTAAAAATAATGTATAATTAGGAAATATAGGTTGTTAATGGATAATCATTAATAATAGTCAAGCTTGTAGTCATGTTAGATTTTCTAGGTATATAGAGATTTATTTCAGTTAGATAGGCATTCCTCATATCTTTCAAAGACTACAGAACATGGCATTTAATGTTTTAATAACTTAGGACTTTTCATGACAAAGAGACATGTCTGCTCCTGACAGCACCAATCTACTTTAAGAGGAGGATGGGCATCGAAGAGGCTCCTTATGGAGTTTGATAGCCATTTGGGCAAGAAACTGCTCTTTGCCTGGACTGATGCATAAACTGGACACAGAGAACCTGCAGAGAGAGGACTTCTGAACTTGCCTAAAGGTGAGATGATCTTTCGGGGTTCCTGATTCATGAAAGAGTCTGCGAGACCTTCTGCAGGACACAGCAGATAGTGACTGAACTGCCTTTGAAATTTCGTGCTTCATGGAAATGTCTCTGGATACTATGGGCCTGTAGGCTGAAGATGGATGCCCCAACGGTACAGAGGAACTTTGGGTGACTGTACAGGCAGCGCGATGTCTCTGTCATTTCTAGAGTTTTGGAAGTTGCTTACTTCTTGTTTACTTAGGTAATATTATATCCTTCTGGAGTCTTTGATGGAGTTGAAGGATGGTTAGTTATAGTTATAGTTTTCCTTAGTTATGATAAAAGACAAAGTAGATATACATATTGTAACTATAATTCTTACTTGATAACTGCTTTGTTATATGTAATTTTACTATGTTAAAGTGAAAGCCTTTCTTTTTTGTTTAAATAAAAAAAGGGGAAATGATGTAGGTGGGGCTTCTGTTATGTTTTAGTTTCATTGGTTAATAAAGAGACGGCCTTGGCCCTCTGATAGGACAGAAAATTAGGTAGGTGGAGTAAACAGAACAGAATGCTGGGAAGAGAGCAGTGAGGCAGATGCCATGGAGCCAGCCACCAGGTCAGACGTGCTGAATTCTTTCTGGTAAGCCACCACCTCGTGGTGCTACACAGATTATTAGAAATGGGTTAATAAAGATGTGAGAGTTAGTCAGTAACTAACTCTCTAGAGATAATGGGCCAGGCAGTGTTTAAATGAATACAATTTGTGTGTTGTTATTTCTGGGGCTAAGCTAGCTGTGCGGGAGCCAGGCGGGATGAAAGCAGGCCTGCCTGTAGCTCGTTACTACAGCTACCGAACAGGGATGCTTTCTGTTTTGTTATAATACCAAAGAACGAACCTAGGGTCTTATACTCGAGAGGTAGGCATTCCACCATGGAGCTGTTAATGCGGCTAGCGAGGCTGCGTTAGCCAAGGTTTGCAGGAGATTATTCGCACTACAGAAGATAACTCTGTCAAAACACACGTTGGGACTGCAGTAAGGAGAGAGACAGCACCAGGGGAGAGCTGTCTTCACTGGCACACACTTCTCAAACCCTTCTGGCTAATGAGGTAGGGTGAATTAACTGTCCACATCCTGTAATTAAAGTGGTCCTGCTAGGATAAAGAAAATGAGCCAATAGGAAACAGAAAACTAGGCAGCATTGTTGAGTGACTGAATGAAGATTTGTCTCTAAGTGAGATGCTTGGCCAACATGCATCTGCATCGTTGACACAGGTGGGTTCTTAGAATGCTCAGTCTCTGACACTGCTCTGGTCATCAGCTCTGTTTTTCATAAATATCGTCAAAAGCTAAGCCATGCACTGTGCCGATGCAGATGGAAACATCTGGGCTTCTCTTGCTTTGATTTCCCGAAAACTAACCTTTCTTCCTTCCTTCCTTCCTTCCTTCCTTCCTTCCTTCCTTCCTTCCTTCCTT